AAACTAAATTATAAGCGTACAATCGCAAATCAAAAGTGCAATATTTTGTACTTGGGTTTACTTCCCAAGAAACGAAGCAGCCGGGATAACCAACCCAGTCAGAGCGGGTGGGTGTGCACTCAAGTGTAACGGCTGGTTCATTTGCAGATGCCGCTCTCACGGCTCATTGTGTGTGTATATATAGAGATGTTGGGTTTTGTAAATACATGCTCATTTTTTGTGTATAACATTTTGCAATCAACAGACATCATAACATGTCATGTGTACAAGTATCACACCTGCCTGTCTGTGTAATTACATAATGTGACAGAGACCGAACTCGGGCCATAAATCAATGCGTTTTGTTTATGGTGTATAGCCTGATAGGTGCTAAGTTCAAATTGCATGTGGTCAGTGATTGAAATTGTTTATTGAATATTGTCATTAGCAGACAGGCAGGCAGACACATAGGTGTCAATAAAACAGACTTTGAGTTTTGTCTGTGACAACGACATATCTATATCACAGTTAGAAATTCTGTCGACGCTATAAATAATGACATTGCTTTTAAGTATCGAACTGAGAAAGTGACTCGGTAAGAAGAACATGCGGTGAAATAGACAAATGAAATTATATAAACAGTTAAATCGGTAATCTACTGTACCAAAAAGCTCTCGCCTGTGAAATATCAACAAAACATTAGAAAAATAGCTCACACCAAAGCCTTCATCGAATATTCACCGGACAACCCGCTTCCAAGTTGCGCGAACCTATTTCACTGCGCACGTGCTATGAGCGCAGCCCAGCTATTGAAACCACTTCAATTCCCCAAAGTTAGTGAATAGTTTGAACGACGATTTCGCGCGGTTTTTTTCATCGCGTTATTTTTATAAGTTGAATTTGCATTTTTGATGATTTGTTTCGGTAAGTCCATACCGAAAGGTATCAGAATCTGCAAAGTTGTGTTTTACGTTGCATGTGATCTTTAACTGAACTATGTGCATAATTCACACGTCAGCCTTTTGGAAGAGCTTTTACAGAGTTGTGTCCCTTTAACAATCTTGCTCAAGTCAAAACATGCATTAAGTAGAAATCACTGTTTATAGTGTCATAGTCCCTTTGTGTGCTTTTTCGAAGTGAACGGGAAGTTAGGGACGCTGGACAAATTGTGATGAAATGTTAATAATGACATATTTACGTTTCAATTTCTGACAAGCAAATAAACAACAAAGCTATATGATGTGATAAACAACTGCAATATTAACTAAGTTCATATGTAACTACAAGAGCATCACTTCGGCAGTATGGCAAGCCGTTTTCACATTTATTAAGAAATACTAATATCTTAAATTGTTTTAAAGATAACTTGAATGAAAATAGAGATATCTTCAGCTGATGAAGAAGATGAAGCATATCAGTTATATCTGGAAATAATAGCTGATATCTTGAAATGAATTATAGATGTCTTGAAATGAATTATAGATGTCTTGAAATGAATTATAGATGTCTTGAAATGAATTATAGATGTCTTGAAATGAATTATAGATGTCTTGAAATGAATTATAGATACCTTGAAATGAATTATAGAATTCTCAAAAAGAGGTAATGAATTTAATTTTTATTCAAATGTATTTTGAATTGAATTTAAGATATCTTGAATAGAGATATTCTAAACGATTTCCATATATCTTTGAACCAAATACTTCCGCCTACATATATGTAAATACTTCCGATTCGGAAAATGGCGGGTAACCATGTACAACTCGTACTAGTCGAGAGCCACGACATGACCCTACATCGCGGCCGAGAATACCACCTTCAAGAATTGTGTTCAGATTCGTCGCTATATGGCTGAATTGATGCCGATGCGACGTAAAACTCAACTCACACCTATTCAAATTCTAGTGGCAGATTACCATTTTCTTGAGATTTTTTAGGAATATTTCCCGTGGGTTTTTTACTGAAATGTTAATATCAATGTACTCCCAGATAATTCCATACTTTTTCATATTTTTATGACAGTAAATTTAGATAATAATAGGCCTGTAACCCGTTCAATTCTTGTATCAACGGTAGCGAGGTGTCATGGTGACATGTGGTGCGCATGCGTCGAATTTCTATAATCCGTTTCTAAGGATGTTCTTCATTAGCGGTGCCCAATACTCACTTCTGCCTCTCGTTTCGAGCGCAAGCACTTTGGCTGCATCACACTGAATGTATATATGACGTTATTATCTGCTTTTAAGTCAAAATAAATTTAATATCTTCATTTCAGTTCAAAATATATTCAAAATAATTGAAGATGTCAGTCATTTCTCAATACATCATCTGTTAAGGATTGGTGGAAACAGATATCGAAAAATGAAATGTGGTGAGATGAATTTCTGTTCTTAGTTGTAATCGAATCATGTTTACACTACTTGGTTTACTTATATATATATTCAGTGTTTCACCAACCACTCAGTGATATATATATATATATTCTCGATTTATCTGTTCAGAGCTACACGATGTCCGTTAAAAGACAAGAATCTGGGTATGTGGACAACTGGCAGGCAAGGAAGACTCTTACACAGTGTAATCTGCGCATGCTCGAAACCGAAGACTTCAGTGACGCCACCTTCCGGGTGGGATCACAGCAACAGGTGGTACGAGCTCACCGCTATGTTCTTGTCAGTCGCAGCTGTGTGTTCCATGCCATGTTCTGTGGCCCCCTGGCGGAAAAAGGGGAGGTGACCATCCCGGATATTGAGGCAGACATTTTCAAGGAATTCTTAAGGTGTGTTTAATCTACCAATTTTACAATTCATTTAATACCAAATAAAAAGACCATCCATAGTCGCTAAGCAGATATCATTGTCACAATCTATGTAAGAAACTGCCAACTAAGTTGCTTAATCATAAATGTCAAGCTACGACATGGTATTGTGGACACCGTTTTATAATGATGTTTAGTTTTCAGTCAGTCTTTACATATAAACAACACAACACCAACCACCCAAACCCCACCCCCACCCCCCCAAAAAAACATGAAACGCAGAAGTGATAGTGGTATAGTACATGAAATTTCATATATTTTTCAAAATTAGTGTTTCATTGTTATAATGTCGCCATTAAAATGTTGGTTTGTATACATGGAATGAATGACAGCGCAAAGACCGCATCTTCGGAAAATTTAATGCACGTTTACGTTCGAAATTAAAGTGCCAACTTGCATGAAAATGTCATGGAGGAAACGTGGTTCGAAAATTTGCAAGTGCAGTTCTGAGGAATCGTGAGCAGGGACATTGCCTGTATAAGGAGGTTTTGGTTTTAGACGGTCATTCGCATTTTTTAAGCTCAATGAAAGAATATAGTTATTCCGCGAATCACTGCTGTCAATAGAGACTCGAGGCTGGAGAGTCTCAAAATGCCGTTGCATGTGACCTCAATGTTCACCAGAGTACCATCAGTCGTTTATGGGACCGATAACAACAAACCGATTCTACGAAAGATCAGTCTCGATGTGGTAGGCCTCGGATTACCAGTGCAGCGAAGGGTAGGTACATCCCGGTACATCATTTGCGGAATCGGTTTGAGGATAGCGTCGGCGCAAACCATTCGTAATCGTTTACGACAAGCTGGACTTCGAGCCAGAAGACCCTATTTTGACTCTGTAGTGCGACGACGACATCGACGGGTCCAGAGGTGGAATAGTGTTCGATGCTGAAATCTACAAACTGGCGACGTGTATGGTTACGAATCACGCTTTCTGCTTCAGTGCCGTGACGGAAGAGTACGTGCCTATCGACGTCGAAATGAACATTTTGAACAGAATTGTGTTGGCAAGGTTGACCGATATGGTGGTCATGTGGGAAACCATATCCTGCAAACAGAAATCTAACTTCATGCGCCTACAATTTGGTAGAGACGAAATCTTAAGAAGTCTTATGGTCCCGATCACTGACCGCCAGAGGGAGTTGATCCAGCAAAATAATGACAGGCCTCACACAGCACATGCCACTGTTCACGTTTATCTTGAACGTCAGCGTTCCAGACGTTAGATTAACTTTCGCTGCATTGCAAGGGAAATGGACCAGAATTCCACAAGGTCGAATTCAAAGATTTATTAAGTCCATGCCGAGACGGTGCAGAAACGTTTTGGGGGCTCATGGTAGCTACAATCGATATTGAAGGCAACGCCGAAGTGGGAACAGACGCCTTCACTTAGTGAAATTTTTACAAGCTATACATTAGCGCTGGGACGGGTAACCCGGATACTCTGGACGGATGGGTAATTAGTTGGACCCGGGTACCCGTCTCAATACCCGGACCTGTTATGATCATGTGACTAATTCATTAAACAATAAAATATGTTATTCTTTCACGATTAATAGGTTGTGCTGTCTTTGAAGATTTAGACATAATTTACTGTCTCCTGTTTTAAATATAATGCATGATTTAGATTTTGAAAAACTCGAAATTTAAACTTCCGAATTGCAGAATATATTGCCATTTCTTACAACTTCGATGTCAGGAGTTAACATAACGGGTATCCGGGTAGGGTAGGGTAATAGGAGGTGGGGTGCCCGGGTAGAAAATATGGACCTGTCCCAGCCCTACTATACATGTGAACAGACATTGTAGCATTTATACTGTGAAATGTGGCTGCAACGGATCCAGAATTACATGTGTTTCTCACTTATTACTTAGCAGGTTAAATTCGTGAGTATAGGTTATAGCGCACTGCAATAGTAAGTGCAAACCCTTTATGTTTGTTAGCAAAAACTGTTGAATATCAAGTTGAAGTTCAGTGTAGCAAGACTCAAGGAACAAAGTATGTACCAATACCATCTATAGCTAAGCTGCAAGTATTGAAGAATGTGTTGCTGAAAATACAGAAATATTCCATTACCCCTCCATCTTCAACACCCACATCCTCCCCGATGTGACTTCTAATATTTATGGGAAGTAATGTTTAAAAGAGCGGTGATTCACAAGAACAATTGTGTCCCCAAATGAACCATTATGATTTATTGTAGGTATATGTACACAGACAAGGCTCGAATCAACGCTGAAACAGTCACCGGACTAATGTACACATCCAGGAAATACTCTCTTGATGCATTGTACGATCTCTGTGTAACTTTCCTGGAGGAGTCCCTGTCAGAAGACAATGTCTGCCAGATCCTGGAGCAGTGCCATGGTTACGGGGAACTGGACTTGGAACAGAAGGCCCTGAAGATCTTGACTGAAGGAGGGGAGAGAGTCACAAAGTCTCCAGGGTTTGTGGGTCTTTGCTCTGAGTGTCTGGGGAAGCTCCTCAAATCGGACACGCTGAACATGAAAGAGGAAGATGCATTTGACTCAGTGCTGTCCTGGACAAAGGAAAGATGCCGGAAGGAAGGTGTGAGTGACACGCCTGAGAACAGACGAAGACTCTTGGGTGAAATGAGGTATGAGATCCGGTTTACCAGCCTACCACAGGAGTATCTGAGTAAGGTTGTGGGCCCATCTGGACTACTGACAGCGGAGGAGAGAGTTAGAATTGTGGACAGAGCATTTGATTCTACTGTTGACATTTCCCCATTTGTAGGTTTAAAGAGAAAGCAAATGCGGGAACCTGATGTTTGTAAATACGTCCAAAGATTTGCATCTGCGTCGGGTTTCGGATGTGTTATGTCAGGAAGCCATGCTCTCTCTTTTTCAGTCAATCACAGGATTCAACTGAAAGGTTGTCAGCTGTATGGTGGATATGATGACATGAAGATTCGAGTGATTATTTCACTGCATGACGAAGATGGCGCATATATATTTGAACAACTGCAGACCGACGTGCAGCTTCTCGGGGGTGGGCAGATGACTGACATCTTGTTCTCTGAGTCGGTACTACTGCAGCCAGGCACATCATACATTATGTATGTGGAAATAGAAGTCTTTTCCATGCAGTATGGGGATTCCTTGGTTCAGTGTGTTCAGATAGGCTACACTGGGTTAAATGGAAAGCAGACTGTTACCACTGATGGGGTTCAGTTCACGTTTTCTGACGCCCATAATTACAATACAGAGACAACAGTTCTGAAAGGAAACATTCCTGGCTTCATATTCAGTATCCCAGCATTAAAGTAGCATGTGGGCTGGCGATGAATACATCTACCAAATGGGTGACGCTGACCACAACACCCATCAGATCTGCATTTGTACCTCGTGTGGTAGAAACACCTCTATTATCTGATACATCGATGACAGCTGTCGTCACACGACAAAAGAACTCTTATACTTGAAAGCGTTAATCAGGAAACGTAACTAAATACAATATGCCGATGAGCATTCCAAATTATAGATGTACATACCAATTCAATATCAACGACCATGTTTAAAATCAAAAACTGACATGCATGGGAATGTATGTCGCTTGTATGGTCTGAGGGAAGTAACTGCGTGTCCATCATGTAACTTCATGTTCTATAGTCTCATGTTTCTACGGAATGAGTGAAACCTGCGTCATATCTGTTTGCAAAATATCCTAATTATATAATGTAGCTTGATTCATAACACATCTTCTAGCAGCAATTGTCTGTTATTCTATTGTACTGTTTTGAATGTGTGAAATAGTTTCTCCACGCTCTGTAGAGTAATTCCACCAACCTACCTAATGTCTGGTGATTACAACGAATGTGATCATCAATCCAATGTGTGTATAATTGACAATTGTACTCTAATATTAACAATGTTTTGAAGTAAATATTAAAAACCACTAAAAAGTAAATACAATGGCAGTACAAAATACAGGAGACGTACTTGCCCTTGTACAAATACAAGGGCAATATAAAATGACAGAAGAGGTTATAGCAAGGAAGACAGTGATGATAATATTCACCTAACTGCCACTTTGGTCAACCTTCCAAATTAGATCTCGGCTGGGAATGTTGGGAGAAATATTATCTTCTCAGTGCCCGCTCCTCAAGCTGAAGACCTGGGTTCGATTCGCCGCATGGGTACGATGTCTGGTCACTCACTCACTCCTCACTCACTCACTCACTCACTCACTCACTCACTCACTCCACCTCACTCACTCTCTCACTCACTCACTCTCCTCACTCACTCCTCCTCACTCACTCACTCACCTCACTCACTCACTCACTCACCTCACTCACTCACTCACTCCACCTCACTCACTCTCACTCACCTCACTCACTCACTCACCACCTCCTCCACTCCACTCACTCACTCACTCACTCCTCACTCACTCACTCACTCACTCACCACTCTCCTCACTCCTCACTCACTCACTCACTCACTCACTCACTCACTCACTCACTCACTCCACCTCACTCACTCACTCTTGTAATGGGATATGACTAATGATCTACTGAAGAAGGTTTCAAGAAGTTTCTGTCCTGAACTTTCTCTGGGTCGCTCAACGCTGGAAACTTTCGGTTGGTCTAAAAATTTCCAGCCTTAACTCTATGTCAGATATACTAACTAGTGCACCATGTAACATAAACTTGTTAAAGACATTGTAAACAGGGGCTACAGTCAGCTTTTATTGAATAAAGCGTTTTTCTCTCAAATAATCCCAATAAATACTGTTGAGATAAATATTATTGTTGACGTTGTAGTTGCTGCTGTTGTTGTTCTTGCTGCTGTTGTTGTTGCTGCTGCCATATTCACTTTTATTTGTGTTTGTTTGGGTTATGTTCACTTGTATTTGTGTAGTGAGTGAGGGGCACATAAAATACTTGTTTCGATCCCGACAAAGATCTCATGCGCTCATATTCATTATAACAAATGTTATACAATTGTGAAGTCTGGGGTGTAGATTTTACAATGTTAAAAAATATTGACGCACTGCTCCCAGAAAAGCTACACCTTCAGGTTTGTAAATCATTGCTAGGAGTAGGCAAAAACACACATAACTGGGCCGTCGCGCAGAACTAGGTGTGTACCCATTACTAGTACCAATCATCAAAAAGATAATTGATTACAAGTTCCATATAGATAACACAACAAATACCATCTTCAAAGATGCCATGGAAGCAAATATCAGTCTCTGTGATCACAATATAGGCTGGGTTCATAAATGACTTTCAGTGGCATTTAGAAGTTGTACATTGATGTCAAAGATATTTTTTATGGATTAAACTTCTTTTTTAATTTCTCTCACAACGTTTCGAGACCATTCCAGGTCCCTTCATCAGGTGAACTGGCAGTTAGGACTATGACTTCGTCACTATGACGTCATTACTGAGTTATGACGTCACAATGCAAGTGACATCACAGTCCACTAGGGACACAGTACACTTTCAACTCTATTATTTAGCATGAGTTTCATCATTATGTAACTAACTCACTTATACAGTACTCTCCCTAGTGTACTGTGATGTCACTGCATTGTGACGTCATAACTCAGTAATGACGTCATAGTGACGACGTCATAGTCCTAACTGCCAGTTCACCTGATGAAGGGACCTGGAATGGTCTCGAAACGTTGTGAGAGAAATTAAAAAGAAGTTTAATCCATAAAAATATCATGGGTTCATAAAGTTAATAAAATAAAGCTAACTTTTGAAATAGCGAACACGAATAAATGTAATCTATCTACAATGAATAAACTCCAGTCAAAATGTGAAGACATGTTCAAGCATTCATTAAGTGATTCCCATACTTCAAATAACAAATTAAGAACATACAGATTGGTCAAGTCGTCTATGAAACTCGAAAATTATCTATTTCATTGTAAAAACAAAGCTCATCGATCACATTTTTCAAAACCACGGTTAAGTAATCATAAACTCAAAATTAAAACTGGAAGATTTACAAAACCTGCAACCCCATTAGAACAACGTCTCTGTGAAATGTGCAGTGTCTTAGACGATGAGCAACACCATGTAATATCATGTACCAACTAAAGCGAAGGACTGACTGAGTTTAGTTTTACGCCGCTTTTAGCAATATTCCAGCAATATCACCGCGGGGGACACCAGAATAAAGCGAAGGAAGGGAATCACTTATACACACAATGCTTTATTATGACCAAGATTTACTACACTCTCAAAAAAAGAACAATTCCTAATAATTTTCACGAACAGAATTCCTGAATTTATTTCCAAAATATGTCACCATATTTACAACTTGATGAATTCTATATCTTACCATAGTCTCCTCATATATTAATTCCTTGTCATTATACCACATGATATCTAAAAAACAATTTCATAATGTACAACATGTATGTGTGAAATGTATCCATATTTCTTGTACCTGCAGTGTTTATGTTTGTAGCTTATAGAATATTGCCACTGTTTCTTCGTGGAATGCTATGCAATAAATATCGTATCTTATCTTTTATCTTTCTCGACGTCCTTTGCCGAACTCGCCATCATCAGACAGGTTCCTTTAAGTGAACTACATTAATGTATGCGGAAGACTCACTGACATTTACGAAACAATCAACGCCAGGACAAGTCTCACTTACGAGGGTGGGTCAAAAACTAGTCGACCTCACCTATAATATGATACAGCTGCAGCTGTTTTTATGTTCCATGAAGGAACAGTGACAAAATTCTATAAACTATACAATGTATGTTCTAACACAGTAGGTGCAAAGAAATACACAGGAACATTCCACATATAAAGTATGTACATTGTAGGAAAACCAAGTTCTATGGATAGTCAACTTCTTTATTGCAATGAGTGCGGCGTCACTTGCTTGATAACAGTGTTAGTACCTACACCGAAACGTCGCACTAATTGCAATAAAGAAGTTGACTATCCATAGAACTTGGTTTTCCTTCATCTATACAACTTCTAAAATGCCTCTCAAAGAAGTTCTGTACATTGTAACAATTTTACTTGGAAAACAAAGTATATAAGTCAAGAGGCAAAATAGTGATGAAAATTATGAGAGCGGATCACTGAAAATCAGTGATGACACCCGGTGTTTGTGACACCAGGGTAAACACGTCATGCCCTGCCTGTAGTACACCTTGCATAAACAGGTCATGCCCTCCCTGTAGTACACCTTGCTTAAACAGGTGTGTCACCGTATCCTTAACGTGTACGGAGATCGATGGTGAATATTCTGATATAGCTTTCAAACATGAACTTAAACACTTTAGCATTTTAATTTCTGAAAACATGTTGTTTTTATGGAAAGGAACCCATATCATTATATGCAGATGTTGACTAAAAATCTAATTTCAGATGCTTGGTGGTTTACTAATCATTATTTAATCATTTGGCTGTTTCCGCAAACAATAGTACAGAATGCGACTCTCTAAGGAATCATTAGCAATAGGTCCATTGTGTGTGCTCGTCGCGATGAAGAAGAAACAAACCATGAAGATCTGGGCTAGAATTTGCGGTCCAACGGGTGGTCAGGTTCGCTGACTTGGTTGACACATGTCATCGTATCCTAATTGTGTAGATCGATGGTCATGATGTTGATCACTGGATTGTCTGACTCGACTATTTACAGACCTCCGCCATATAGCTGGAATATTGCTGAGGGAGACGTAAAATGTTTATGTTCTATATACTCGCAATGCCGAGACATAGTTTCTACACTGACGGAGGTTTATTGTTAGCAAAGGGGGAAAGAACTCGTTTTACACGAAGTGCCCACATTGCAATAAACGCAGGCCCAAAATCTCAATTTCATTAATATACAAGGGCTTAGCCTCCATATCAAACATGGTTCATGTGTCGGAATTGGTAAATCTCACACCCAAACCACGTATGTTAATAGAAATCTACCGGTACCGTCTGTCGTCCGTCAACAGGAAGGGTATTGCCGCTGATAGCAAACAGTCGTACAGAATAATGTAAACATTGTATGAATCGGGACAACACGACATTCACACTGGGGCTGGCACGGGTCCACTTTTCCTACCCGGGTACCCGACCCCTTTTACCCGAACCAACCTGGGTACCCGTTATAACGCTTATTGCGACTTATTCACCTTCAGTAAAATCAGTGAAGGCCGAGATCAAGATTGGCGTCTGGAAATATTGTGAATCCGTCGCATCAGGCACAAAGACAAAATGCATTTTGTGCTCAGTGCTGCTAGGTCACAGAGGAGGGGGTACGTCATCGATGTGGAAACATCTGGACAACAAACATCCCTCCGTAACAAACCAGGAGCTACAAACAACTGCCGTTCCAACTACCTACAGGTACAATACAATTGCAGGTATAAATAAAAAGTGTATACCATTAAGCTTGCAAGTAAACAATGTAATGTAAAAACCGTACAACACTGAAGAACTTACTATCAATTTCAGGAACAATCGAAGCATTCAAAGCCATTTGTGTATCTGTGGTGATGATGTGGAAATTGTAAATGATTTATAAGTGCCTTGGCATAATTATAGGTAGTAAATTCAGTTTGAATGCTAATACAGATGCTGATCTCCAAAAATGTCAACAGAGATACTAGAGATTACAATTCCTGCGCAAGTTGCGATCTTTTAAAGAAAATGAACGTGTATTATTCCTCTCTTGTCATTGTTCAAAGCGTTCTAAGGTTTTCGTTCCAATGTTGGTATGGTTCCTTATCTATGGTTAG